TGAAACTTTTTAATGAAAACGTTGAAACAAACGCAATGCACGAAAACTATTGAAATTCCGAAATTAATATTTCTGTTTCATTTCCTTCCTAAATTTACAAATTCTCACGTACTTATTCCGTTTAATGTTTTTTCTGAATTTAAGACAATTGCGTGCGATTCAGTGTTTTCAGGAAACCTGTGTTTCACACTCTAGGCTTCCTTTCTAATCTTATGAAGTTTACTGAAAGTCGAAATTATTTCCTTGATGATACTTTTAGAATTATTTAATTCTTGTTATCAAACGGAATGTGAAATTATCAGGCATCTGTAAAGCTGAAAAATGATAAAAGCCAAGAAACAATCTCTCGGATGCACGTCGTCTGTAATAATCAGTTGAATTTCTTGAAAAGGTAGGTGATTTCGGTGCTCTTTTATTCCTTGAACTAGATGGTTTAATTACCATTCTTAACAACACCTTTCGTACTAAATTCGATGCGAATCGAAATTTGTGAATTATTCATAGATGAAATATCTGTCTTTATGAGTTAGTCAGATTGTGACTAGTTGTCCCCTTAGATTTCTCTGTGTGGTTGAATCCGCTTTTACTGATAATGGTCCTCTAGCTGATTTGACATTTGACGATTTAACTGTGACATATAAACATTCTACTTGGCTTTCTGCTATCTCTTTCAGCAAGTTCCATGTGTGCCCCTCTATATCACCCTCCAATCTGTCGGCAAGTCTTCTGATTCCAAGTTGACCCGAGTATCAGGCTCCCAGGAATTCTATGAAGGCTTTGCATTTTCCCTATGTAAAGATGCATTCATTATCCTGTGTGAATTGACCTACTTAGTTGTCCATGTAACTTGATATAAACGGATGTATGTCATGTCTTCTGACTGTTTGTTAGTTTGTGATCGTGGATACGAGGATAGAGACGAAGTCCATTTTGGCCTATTTTATAGATAGTATACTGTTGTAGATGTGTCGGTGGCATAGCGGCTAGGACGCTCGCCAACCATACACATGGTCCGGGGTTCGATCCCCGGCCGACAAACTCCTTTACCTCGCTAATGCTGGTGAAGAGGAAAGGTTGGGCATGAGGCTAGTAACCCCATCCTGTAAAATAAACACTGCTACAGAAACTTCAAGCCTCTAGTTTACAGCCCTATATTCCACTGGGGAACGTGAAGGAAATAAAAAATACTTTTGTAGATAAAGTCTGTCAGCCGGTAGTAGGCCATATGATTAAAGTGTCAAATATATTGGCTTTTCAGGATTAACTCTAATATGCATAACTTTACAAATGAATATTAAAATATAAACCGACCACTATAATTTATCAGTAGGATGATAAGATTGTGCATATAAATTATGAAGTTTGTCATAGTAATAATTCGACAGAATAATAAACTACATTTTCTGAATGTCTTTGCTAAGTAGGCGAGAAGACGGATCACTTGAGAGAAGTGTGTATAGAAAAGGCATATTCACAAGATAATGAATGCACTCAGCTCCTTAGTTGTGTGCCCATTCCATATCTATGGATGATCACTTACAAAGGGAAATTGAAAAAATTCATGATTCCTTGACGAAGATCGATTATTTGAGTGGTTTTATAACGAAACATATGAAAAACATTCGATAGAAAACCTGAGATAACGATAGTACAGATGAAACCGTTATCCATCAGGTTACAGTTTCATGAGGACCTGCCAATTGAGGTTTCATTTCAGAGAGTGGCTAAAAGTACACGTCATTTTCTGGTCGATGAACAATGGAGACTCAAATGAAGGATGAGCTAGGCAGTTCTGCCACATTAACTGCTCCTGTAGAGACAGTTGTGTTGGATATACTACTAGACAGTTTAGACAATGTGTTACAGAAAACCTCCCATTGTAGTTTGGTAAGGAATCAGACAAAAACAACCTGAGGCTCCACTTTGTCGCATTTAGTTGATACTAGTAATTCGGTGGTACAAAAGTACAGCATTCATGTTGATTCATTGCATCTCGGAGAATCTTCCCAATGGATTCCGCACTTACCTACTGAATATTTCTAAGGCGATAGATATTGGGACTATTAAGCCTAAACTATATGCATTCAGAAGAATTTCGTTCATCTTTTTCTTGATCAATGAAGACCTAACCAGCTGGTGATATCACCGCCACTTCCAGTACCCCTTACTTACACTTTCAATCCCTTCTTTATCATCATTTATTGTTATCACATCTTCATTATAACATCGTTGTTTACTCTTGTTACAATCAAGAATTGCAGAATTGGACTTCTTGTTTTACTTAGCCTTTGTCGATAACTTCCTGCCTATTTTTCTCTATTGTTCCCCCTTAGTTTTTCCCGAGCTACTGAAGAAAGACTATAACATATTACGCAGGATGTTAAATGTTGTCAGCAGGGTAAGCAACGTGCCACTTAACCAGCTTGTTAATATTCTGGTCGACAGGCACATGGACTCATGTGAAAAATGGGCTAAATCCATTTTATCTAACTCACACCACCTTCTTCACTCACAACTCTCCCCTTGTATCTCATTAGGCAGGACCAGAAGCCTATATAGAAAACTATATACTCGCACCAGCAAGTACAAAAACTCAACCATACCCTACTTAGCTCGTGTTCTGTGTGATAAAGAAAGCATTAGGCGTGACACCTATAATTCGTTAAATAGTCAGTAGTACAACTGGATCTCGTCTTTCCAACTCACATCATCAATAGGTACAACATTTTCTTTCTTTTCCTTTTCTCTCTCTCTCTCTCTTTTCCGTTATGTGCTGCTTTGTCTCTTTCTCTCGCTTACGCCAGTTAATAAGACAGCTCCCACTTTTCTAACACCTTCAAACACTGTTTCAGCTTTACCTTTGCTACTGAACATGCCAATGAATTGTTGTAATAATGAACTGTGGTTTCCTCAATCTATGTAGAATTCTATTTATTGATAATGTACTAACTGGATGCAATACTGTAGTAAAATGCTGAGAATTCCATTCTGTATCACAAGTACTGTTTTTGGAATAAAGCAAATTATTATTATTCTACATGAATATTTGTTTATATAATGATGCCATTTTTCATCATTCTTGTCAAATCCAAAAGTTTGTTATCAACAGAATCAGTATTGCTGGTATTAATTATGACTAAGTGCACAATTTGTATACACAATTGTATCATACTACTGATAAATCATCCCGAATGATTAATATCTTGTCAAGCTGCTAATATAATTAAATAATTCCCTTTGTAGCATTTAAATGACAATATTCAACGAAGAGACTCTTTTCAACGAATTTATTATCAAGCTGTACAATCGTATATATATGGTTTTTAAGAAATTATATCCTGTGAAGGAACTGAATCTTAAGTGTGAATGCATAAAATAATAACAATAGTAGTATGAAATGCAATTAAAATGTTTGTGATTGTAATAATAGTTAAGTGTCAGGTGGTAAAACAATTAATGTCATATATAGAATAATTCATAAAATGTATAGATGCTGGAAACTGGTGTATAATTACAGGATTAGTAGGCTAATATAAAATGTTACATAACAATGTGTGAAATTTGATAAGATAGAATTCAATATTGTAAAAAAGGTTTTTGGATTTAGAAGGACAACTGGAACAAGCAAAAACAATTCAGAGTGAGAACAATAATATTAATAACCGTAGTAATGGGGGAAAGGTACATAGATTAACTAAATTGTGACTCTGCCAACCCTGACCATGGTTTAAAGATCATCTACCGAAACCCTTATTCTGCCTTATCCGTAGAGGGATAGGCATTTATTTATTTATTTAGTTGATCTATGTACCTTTCTTTCATTACTACGATTATTATTATTATTCTCACTCTAAAAATGTTTCCTCTTGTCTCACTAGTCATTCTAAATCCAAAAAATGTTTTTGCAATCTTGAATTCTATCTTATCGAATTTCACACCATGTTGTGTAACATTTTATATTTGTTGGAGGATTTCATCATGATCTGACGTCAGTTAGCGAACCATTCGAAAACCTGAAGGGAGTACTGGACAGTCGACTGTTTCGTCCTAGTTTGGGACTCTTCATCAGTGTGCATGCAACGAGACTCGAACCCAGGACCTTTTGGTTACAAGACGAGCTAGCTCGTAAACCATTAAGCCACTGAGATCCGATCCGATGGCCAGCCCAATAATTCTAACTTCTGCCGATTCATGAAAATTAATCTGATGCTCACTAGCAACTGACCCTATCCAGGCAGTTACCTGGAGTTCTAGTGGAAATCCGTAACCAGTAGGGTACAGCAAGCTGAAGGTCAGGTAGTAACTCATCGAAGAAAACATTGCGAAGTGATCGTGCTATGTCATAAATTGGCTGGCAGAAGTTGGAATTCATGTGCTGGCCATTGGATTGGGTGCCAGTGGCTTAATGGTCTACAAGCTACCTCGCCTTGTAACTAGAAGCTCGTGGGCTCGAACCCTGGCGGTGAGTGCGTACTGATGAAGAGTTCCAAACTAGGCTGAAGAAACATCTGGCTGTCCAGTACTCCCAGTTGGCTTTCCAATGGTTTCCCAACTGATGTCAGCTCATGATGAAATCCTCCAACCAATCAAACAAAATCCCTACAAACCAATACTCGAAAAACATTTAATATTTGCCTACTAACGGTATAATTTTAAAGTCCTTTTCCAACATCTATACATCTTATGTATTATTCTGTATATGACGTTAATTGTTTTACCACCTGACACTTAACTATGATTATAATCGCACACATTTTTATTGCATTTCATACTTTTATTATTTTATGCGTTCACACTTTTCATCTAATTTCCTCACTGGATAAAATTTCTTAAAAAGGTCATAAATGCATACGATTGTACAGCTTGATAATAAATTCGTTGAAAAGAGTCTTCCCACTGAATATTGTGTTCCTAGACGATTAATACTTACAGATGTTCAGATAAACAAGGAAACTATCTATGTATTGTTTTTAATTATAGAACAACTAACCAAATTTGGGTTAGTGAATACTGTCTTCTTGATTGTCATTCTGTTGATTTGGACGAATTATGATAACTTTAGTAGCCACTTTGCTTTTCCCCTTAGAAGTGAATGGTGCCTGTGAGCCTATTGCTTCTGCATACGTTGGTGGATAGGGATAATAAATAGGTTTATTAGACTGGTGAAGATTACCACATACACTTTGATTTGGTAAAGATTTTGGAATAATATTGACTTTTACATGTAGGCAATCATCAACCAATTCTTTGTCTTGGATATACTCCACGGCTCTCATGATATCCTTTATATCTGTAAGTATACAATTATGAAAGCCATCTGAAATTGAAACAAAACAAAACAAAAAACAGAGAAGGGAACAATAATGTGATACAAAGATAAATTAGTGCGTCGATGACACAGAGGTAGAGTGCTCGCCAACCACGGAATTGGTCCGGGGTTCGATCCCCATCCACCGACACACTCCTGCTTTACCTCACTAAGGCCAGTGATAAGAATGGTGAAGAGGGAAGGTTGGACATGAAGCTAGAAACTCCATCCCGTAAAAACAATCATCACTGTTACAGAAACTTCAAGCCTCTAGCTTGAAGACGCCTTATGTTCCAGCATTGGGAACGTGACGGAATAAATAAATTTAAATTTTATTACTATAGCTTGACTCCACACAGTATTTTTGATACAAGTATGGAATTTTCAGCATATCAGTAGCCCAAATTTAGCAGGCCGACCAACCATGGATATCAGGTATGCGTTGGCTGGAGATTGAACCTCGGACCATGTGAATGGTCCGCGAGAGTCCCAACCGCTTTGCCTCCAACGAAAAGGCGTTTTCTGTATTTACTGAAATGATCTGAGTAAATATTATCTATACACCACTGCACTTCTGTGTGTGAGTGAAAATATTGTGACTGTTCGCACTTCGAGGACACTTACTACCAGTTATAATGGGGCATAGAAACTACTTGTACAGATACTTCAATGTTTTCCTTGTAATTGTCTACTTAACGGTGATTCTGAGGCGTATTCGAATCGTGATGTACCACAGATAGGAAAAAAACAAAGGTCTCGAGTTTTACAACTTTCTTAACCTAGCAAATACAATTATTTCTCGTTGAATACGCCTAGAATGTCACCTGAAGAAAGAGAATCCATCCACTAATGTGATTCTTTCCATACCGTTTGGATATGCAGCCTGATTAAGTCTTGATTTCTCTTCATAATGTTGTGAGAAAGTTTCAGTGAATCAAATAACAAGGATGATAAGGTTATTAGTACATATATCTTATAAGAGCAAGATTTCTCGTAAAAAATTTACAGTTTTCTTGTTAGAAAGATGATAAATCAATGACTACTGTGGAACCAGATTAAAAGGAACTCATAAGATAGGTAAAATCAACATTTGGTGTGTACGAAGTTGAATAAGAAAATAATTACGTAATACGGTGAGTATAATTCAAAGAATCTACACGACCGATAGTGATTGCTCAATTGAAAGATGAAGTACCTAAACTAGCCACTTCTAAATGTATCTACCAATTCAACTACGCTTCTGATGGAGCAAGTTATACTGACCTTCGCTCTATGGAAAATCCAATAGTGTGGCTAAGTAAAGGTATGTTAAATGCCATCAACAGTTCGAAATTAGACCACCTGGTACAAACCTGTCATGAAGTCAAAAATTGAAGAATCCTTCTCTATCATCTACCGAGTACCAAATAAATTGTCATAAACTTCCAGGTACCGCATAGTACAAACAGCAGAGGCTATCGTGGTTCGCGTCAAACACCCGGTGTTCTACATGCAGAAGAAGCAAGTCCAGCCACTACTACTGCCCTGGCCAGCCCTAAGTAGAGACTAAAAATTCATGAATTTGTGTCATTATCTTTCCTAATTTTTCTGATATTCAGCTTATTTTATGTTGATGTTATTCAACTGTAATCTAGTGGTATTATTGATTCGATGCTATTTAAACAACATTACACTAAATCATTCACTTTAATGTATATAGATAACTATAGGACATGATGAAGAAGGCGTTATCGAAATGAATATTCTTTGTTCAGTAATCATCCCTGTGCAAATATCAAAAATAAAGTCTAATATGAAAGTCAAGCAAAAAATGGTTGGGGCTGAATTAAAATGATTACATCAGTAGACAAAGAGTTATTAGGGAGAGAGTTTCTGAGGTAGTGGAGTTTCCACGACAGATTCCTTTCAGACACATAGGTTGTGTTGCAGTTGTTTTTATTTCGATAACTTCAACAAACCAAAGAAGACAAGGGGTATTTTGTGTGTTAATTATTTTTAATGCTTCCAACGCATCCACTCGGTGACTTGAGTCTATCAGGTGTTTGGTAGCTGACAAGCTCAAACTATTCAGTCCCTTTAGTCGGAAGCTCTTTGGTTCTGCCGAAGTAGTCATTACCTGAGCTATTCATGAATGGATATATATAATTGGAGAATAATATGTGATTCGACTTCACATACACCAAATTTCGATTTTTCATTCTCATGTGTTTCAATCGTTGTATTTTATTATCTCGGATCACGCAATTTCAACCGAATTATCACCATGGTAACAACAAACTGTTAATTTTTTAAGGAGAAATTTGCTGTAGCAATATTTATGCATTTTTTGAACCAATAAACATATCATTCTTATGTTTTGATTCACTGTGGCTCTCTCGCAACAGTTATTACTGTTAAAGTGATTCATGATGATGAAGAAAATGTTTGTTAACTCTGTAGTACAACCACTTTTGTTAAATAGTAAGTGTGTTGTATTCCGCTGATGTGAACCAATAGAATGAAATGAGGCCACATTATTCTGCATCCACAGTTCTTCTTCTTCTTTTTTTTCTTTTTTTCCTTCACGTTCCCCAGTGGAACATAGGGCTTCAAGCTAGTGGCTTGAAGTTTCTGTAGCAGTGTTTATTTTACAGCATTGGTTTGCTAGCCTCATAACCAACCTTTCCTCTTCACCAGCACTACTTCTGGCTTAGCGAGGTAAGAGAGTGCGTTGGCCGGGGATCGAATCCCGGACCATGTGCATGGTCGGCGAGCGTCCTAACCGCTATGCCACCGACGCACGTTTGTTCTAACTGTATTTAAAGACATAAGTATAAAACTTGGGCACTGTGGTAGAGCATAACTCCATTATGGATAAGGTTTTATTTTGATAAATCACACAGTGCTGTACAGTCATATTAACTGATGACGTTTCGAGCAAAAACTATTGCTCATAATCATAAAAGTGTATTTAAAGACTGTTATCCGTCAACAAAGGATACATAAGATATTCGATAAAAAAGAATCACTTAATATCCATATTTGTTTTCGTGCATCGACTTCATCAGTTAAAGAAGGGTCATTCAGGAAGCGGATATCGTGATGTGAAGAACTACTAAGTTAGCCAAATCTGATGACAGACTAGTAGACTCTAATAAATATATTACTATACATTTATATATTTCTTAAATATTACATTCCTTTAGGTTCCATTTGGAACGTAGAGCTTCAGAGTGAAGCTTTGAAGTTTCTGTAGATGTGGTGTTTATTTTTACGTGGTAGGGTCACTAGTCCCATGCCCAACTTTCTCTCTTTACCATATCTACTAACAGCTAAGCGTAATCTAGGAGGGCGTCGGTCGCGGACTGAGCACAGATCGCTTACGTGGTTGGCAAGCATTCTACGGTTGCACCACTGACGAACTATATTTGTAGATATATAAATATATAGGCAGTTCATATAACTTGAATACCACTCAGAAAAATAAAAATTTTTACATACAAACACCTTCAGAGAACATGTGAAATTTTAAGGCTTTTTTTCTAAAATGAAAATTGAATACCCTAGTGATTAAAAAACAAATTTTTATAAAACTGAATTAAACCAGATAAATAGAAGGTATCAACTGGTAACTGTAATATAAGAAAATCAATTTGCACACAATTCACTGAATTTGTTCTCAGTGATCAACATAAAACATTGACATTTGAACATTTACATATAAGAAGGTATAGCGGTTAGGCTTGCTCGCCGACCATGCACATGGTCCGGGGTTTGATTCTCGGCCACCGCACTCCTTTACCTCACTGAGACAATATTAAAAAGAAGGCTGGTAAAGATGAAAGGCTGTGCATGAGGCAAGCAAGCCCATCCTGTAAAAGTAAACACTGCTACAGAAACTTCAAGCCTCTAGTTTGAAGCCCTATGTTCCACTGGGAAAGTGAAGGACTTGATAATAATAATAATACAGACAAAAGTTAATGTAGTGACCAATTGTGAGTAAACAAAAAGATCTTAAGACGCTTTCAACGATTATGTAAAGTAAAAGACGTTCAGTTCTTGACCTAGTGGTTCTAAATCTGATACCTTTACTAATGTCCGGGGCTTAAGCAACAGTATCCTGCACAGAATGTTTACCCACAATATTCAGAATTTTCAGCAAAGTTTTCACACGATGTTTTATCATCATCCTGGATCTTTGAGTAAAAACAGTAATCTAAAACACCTCATGTGACACAGTGCTGTTTGATCAAGTGACTGGCCCTATTCAAACAGCCGTGATCAGTAGGGTACAACAGGTCAAAGATGGGGACAATTACTCATAGATGAAGACATTGAGAAGTGGTCGCATTATATTGTAATTTGGCAGAAGTTGGAATTCATGGGCTAGCCATTGAATCGGGTACCGGTAGTTTAATGATCTACTTACTCGCTTGCTTGTAACCAAAAGTTCCTGAATACGAAACCACTTGATGGGTGTGTACTGCTGACGGGCGAAACAGCTGTCCAGCCATAGTGAATGAAAACATTCACCTTAAATACACATATATATTTTCTAACGTTTGGTTTGTAAGGGTTGGTTATGTTTTAACGAGTTGATCATGGATTGATATCAGCTAGGGAGCCATTGAAAACCAGGGGGTACTGGACAGCCAGCTGTTTCATCCTAATTTGAGAATCATCGGCAGTACCCACCCACTGGGACTGGAAGCCAGGACCTTTCGGTTACAAGGCAAGCTCGTATAACATTCAGCCACTGGGACCCAGTTCAATAACCGGTTCATGAGTTCTAAGTTCTACGAATTCGTGATTTAGCGCTACCTCACTGGTCACGAATTCTCACTAGAACTGACTCCAGGAAACTCCATCCTGTAGCAAGCAGTCACTAGCGAACATCAGATTAATTTTCTATAGTAAGGTTTGTAAGGGTTAGTTATGTTTTTACGAGTTGATCACGGATTGAAATCAGTTAGAGAACTATTGAAAACTGGTAGAAGTTAGAATTTATGAGCCATTGAATCGGGTCACAGTGGCTGAATAGTATACGAGCTTGCCATGTAGCCGAAAGGTCTTGGGTTCGAATCCCAGTGGGTGCGTACTGGCAATGATTCCTAAACTAGGATGAAACAGCAGCTCTTCAGTACTCCTTTTTTTTCAATGGTTCTCTAACTGATATCAATCCATGATCAACTCGTAAACATATATATATATATTTATGCATTTTATTATGAACAGATTAAAGCAAAACAAAATTACCCATCTTTAACTGACTTACCATTCCACGTAAGTGTAAAACCAGCAAATTGAAAATGTGTTATCTCATGCAACTTTTTCATCAATTTATTCCAATCCATACTTTTAAACAGAGACATTTGTAAACGATAAGCAAGTGGTACATCAATGTCTGGACGATGAATAAAAAATTTGATCGCTGACATTGAACTTATCCTCCTGTTATGCTTGCCACTAATGAATTACACATACACACACACACATAAAAATAAATAAATTGTGTGAATAATAAAGTTTTAAGAAAAAACAATGAAAAGATTTTTACATTTTAAAAAAGCCTGACTTTTTCGTCAACTTGATCAATGATGACCCAGAGATTGGTAGTTTCATTGGTCACAACTCTGATTGTCCTGTCTATAGTTCTATGTATCCTTGATTGACGACCTTGAGAGTGAATATATTATTATAATAATGATAATGATAATAATGCTTACGGACATATAACAGTTTATGTAATAGATGGCAGTTCTAATGCCAGAAAAAACCTATATATATATATATATTGATTATGTAACTGTTTTTGTAGACAATTTATTACCAATTGAATAAATAATCAGGTGTGTGAGTCTTTGTGTGTATGTTTGTGTGTTGGTGTGTGGGTGTGTTGGCGTGCATGTACCTATGCGTGGGTTTATGTGCTTAATGGTTAGGTGTACATGTGTAAACACACTTTCTTATACTTTCGGTATGATTGATTGTTTGTCTATTTTGATTTTCTGTACGATGTCAGACTTTATTTGAGGCTAGCTTGCTTTGATGCCTTTTGCTGTGATATTAGTGAATATATATATATTTTTTTATATATAGACTGTGAAATGGCGGAAGCTGGAACTCATTGGCCATTGAACTGGATCCGAGTGATGTGAATGGTCTAAAAGATGGCCTAGTCGTGGGTTCAAACACTGACGGGTGTGTACAGATGAACAGTCAGTCAAAAACTAGGACGAAAGAGCTATCCCGTACTCCTTTCCGCTTTTCCAACGGTTCACCAGCTAAGGTTGACTGGTGGTCAAGCTTGAGTAGTGATCTCTTGTCTAAAATGTTCAGCCTCTTGTGATTGTTGGAATTATTTTGTGGTTACTGCTGATTGACTTTTATTGAACTGAAATTCTTTGTTACAGGATTTCATCATGCGCTGACATCGGTTAGAGAACCGTAGCGACTGGCCCTATTCATGTAGGTAGTTATCTGGGGTTCAAGTGGTAAGTCGTGACCAGTAGGGCGCAGCAGGTTGGGTGTGAAGACAAATACTCGCCAATGATGACATTGGCAACTGGTCGCACTATGTGATGAACTGGCAGAAGTTGGAATTTAGGTGTTGGCCACTGAACCAAGTCCTAGCGACTTAATGGTCTTTGAGCTAGCTCGCCTTGCAACCAAGAGGTTCTGGTGGTGAGTGCGTACTGCTGAATAGTCCCAAATTAGGCTGACGAAAAATTTGGCTGTCCAGTACTCCACTGCTGGTTTTCCAATGGTTCTCTAACTGATGTCAGCTCATGATGAAATCTTTCAACCAATCAATCAAATCCCTACAAATCAATAGTTGAAATTTTTTGTCTTTGATGTAGTTGTGTTCTCTGAGCAGGATGGTTTATTTTCGAATAATAACTATTCTCAGTCTTCGTTAACAATATAGACTCCCAGTAGTAGTGGAGCTTTGACGATGCCTTCAGATGATCTTAATACTGGAAATGCCTCAAATGTCCCTTGTCCTTGAAACCTACCCAATCTGGTGATCCAAATGGAGTGCCCAGTTTGATCTCCAGAAAAGGTAGCAAATATTGCTTATAATCATCCTCTTACTGATATTTTTCCCACAAATGTTGTGTCTACTTCTTTGAAGAATATTGAAACTCTCCTTGAGCCCAAATCATCAAGTGGATTAAGACCTATTTCTGTTACCTCACTTTTTTTAAATCAAAGAAAAAATACGTAAACTTAAACCTGAACCTTCATTGAAGGCGTTTAGCCATATTGAACAATCTGTTTGTAAGCATAATAGATGTACTTTAGATAACTCTTTTGTCTCACATTATATTACTGTCTCTAGTTTAGACAAAGGTCGTCATATATGTACGGTATGACTTCCTTGATCACATATCTGTCTTCGACTCTTTACCCGATAGGGTCTTTTGTTAAACATGCTTGCCGCAAAACAAGCAGTGTATTGGATTGATTATTTGTTGATAAGGTCAATTCCGATGAGTTTATCGATAAACTGAATGTTTCTGTGGCGGTTACTTCTCAGTCAGATTGTTCTGAAATGAATATCTATTCATGAGAGATCGGTCAGTGGTGCTTGTCAAATGGCCTTCAGATAAATTCCTTCTAACAGCAGACTGTCAATTTTAGACACAGACTTGATTTGCGTGAACTAGTTCATCCCTATGATTCTAATATCATAGATGGCAGTGAAGTTAGGGTTAAATAGAATGTGAAATACCCTTGACTGTCTATTCCCTCTGACCTTTCCTGGTTTTCCCACATTATGCTGACTTGTAGAAAGATATTTCGTGTAACCTTCTACATAGGGAAGTTAGGACAGTCTGATATCACTCAGTCTCCTTTCTTAGTTTGCTAATTCTTGTATTTCTACCTGTACTTCTTTACTGCTTCCCTTCAATTCTTCCTGGGCTAATTAAGAAAGACTTTGTTACCCTGAGAAGAGCACTAAAAGCTCACAGTGGGGCGAGTGCGGTATGGCTAAACCAATTTGTTAATACTGTTGTAAGTAGACATATGAATTCATTCAAGAAATTAGCAAATATCATCTTTTTCAAGTATTGGTTTTGTAGGGATTTTGTTTGATTGCGTGGAGGATTTCATCATGAGCTGACATCAGTTAGAGAACCACTGGAAAACCTGGGAGTACTGGACAGCTGTTTCGTCCTAGTTTGGGACTCATCAGCAGTACGCACCCACCGGGATTCGAACCCAGGACCTTCTGGTTACAAGGCGAGCTCGTAGACCATTGAGCCACTGGGACCCGGTGGGTGCGTACTGCTGATGAGTCCCAAACTAGGACGAAACAGCTGTCCAGTACTCCCAGGTTTTCCAGTGGTTCTCTAACTGATGTCAGCTCATGATGAAATCCTCCACGCAATCAAACAAAATCCCTACAAAACCAATACTTGAAAATTAATCTAATGCTCACTAGTGACTGGCCCTATTCAGGCAGTTAACCTGGGGTTCTAGTGGGAAGCCGTGACCAGTAGGGTACAGCAGGTTGGAGATGAGGCAGTAACTCATCTGAGAAGACATTGCGAAATGGTCGCGCTATGTCGTGAATTGGCAGAAGTTAGAATTCAAGGACCATTGTATCGGGTCCCAGTGGCTCAATGGTCTACGAGCTCGCCTTGTAACCAGAAGGTCCTGGGTTCGAATCCCGGTGGGTGCGTACTGCTGATGAGTCCCAAACTAGGACGAAATAGCTGTCCAGTACTCCCAGGTTTTCCAGTGGTTCTCTAACTGATGTCAGCTCATGATGAAATCCTCCACGAAATATCATCTTATCAGACCCTGAGCATTCTCCCTACAAACAACTCTTTCCTTACATACTACCAGGAAGGTAGGTCTAGGAGCAACTACAGAAGACTTAATGCTCGAATGACTAAGCATAAAGACTCTACAATCACTGGTTTGGTATACACTGTATCAGGTGAGAAAAGTTTGAGGCATGAAACTCGAAGCTCGGAGCAATGTAAGGAGAGAAATATTGTATTATATGCAATATTGTTTGCAGTAAAGCCATTATTATTACTATTATTCATACTTGGGTGGTGACAGTGGCTGAGAGTGAAGTCATGGGTGCGAATTTTGTACAATTTCGAACTCGTCATCTGAATGCCCCTGTATCCCCAGTTACGACTAATGATTTTCCCACTGTTAGCTGAACCCCGGTCATTTATGTTTTCAAGCCAAAATGTATTATTCAAATGAACTGTTGCCAAGATTTGACACTTCTTAAATATTTGGGCGCCGAGACTGAAATGAGTAATTCCAACGTTTATTTCGACAATCTGGTGCGAACTTCTTGTGGAGACGTTAACAAATGTTTTATAACTGTTTGCCCATACACACACATACACACATCATTGTATAACGCAAATACACAAATATTTTCTCAATCAGTTATCTAGAACCATGAACTTTAATCGAACGTAATCACCAAAATTCTGATGAAAAGTACACTCTGTTTAAAGTGTTTAACAAAGGTAGACCAATATTTGTAAGTCCAAGGTCAAATTTTGATCAAAGTTCATACAATTTTGTTTATTATACCTTTTTCCATGACTCATGATTGGAGAAAGTTTTTAAAAACAAGCCTTGTCCTTTATATATATATATACCTCTGTTGGCAGAAGTTAGAATTCATGAGCCGCTGAATTGTGTCTTAGTGGCTGAATGGTATACGAGCTTGTCTTGTAACTGAAAGGTCGTGGGTTGGAATCGCAGTGGGTGCGTACTGCCGGTGATTCCCAAACTAGGATGAAACAGTAGCTGTCCAGTACTCCAGTGCTTGTTTTCAATGGTTCTCTAACTGATATCAATCCATGATCAACTCGTAAAAACATAACTAGTCCTTACAAACCGAACTATAGAAAACCTCTGTCATGTTAATTTCGATTAATTTCCCTGAAGAAGTTCGGACCAGTTTGTCAAACGAAACGTTGGAATTACTCATTTCAATCCCGCTGAGATTTTACAAATATAATTTTTTACAAAATGTATTATATACTAGAACACTTTATCACGAAAGCTACCACATTACATTATTTTCATATTCCCCTTTAACTGATTTACACTGGAGTAGGATGCTTTCTCTCTCGGGTTCTGTTTCTAAGTAACATCAAATAAATAAAATAATGCTTCTTTGAAGGGAGTTTGTGTTTAATAACTGTGAGAATAAAGATGTTGTGTTTGTGGTAGTTTTTTTTATCAATAGTGTATGAACAAAACAGTCACCATACCATTCGTAGAAGCTATGGTGTTCTGATTTCGTATATTTCAGTACTCGTTCAATATATAAGTGCACGTATTTATGCTAAAGTCACTATGCGCCTAAGGTTCTGACTGTCAGTTCGAATGAAGTTACCTCAGACTCTTCCGCTGACGTCAAAAATGTATCGCAGACCTAGCCAGTTTA